TATATATATATATATATATGAATGATAAAATGGCTGAAATATTGCAAGATTGACAAATCTTGAAAAGATTTTGCCAATCTCACTGGAAGGTACAGCTAAGTGGAAGCAACTAAAACTATATATAAAATAAATAAATAAATAAATTATTTTGGGGCATTTTGCAAGTTTATGTGATGATGCCTGGACTTGAAAGATTCCTAACTCCTTAGCAATTTAGCTTAACATCTTCAATTAAGCCCAGTCTGGTAGCAATCAATAGGAAACATCTCTGCCAGTATTCATAGCCAACTGCACTGGATCATAATTGGCATTATCCACTGCATAACAGATAAATAGATTAACCCAATATTAGAAAACTTCACATGGTAAGCATGTAAAACTTCACATGGTAAATATGGTAAACTAAAATTGTAAAGAAGTTTAACTTATTAAGAATAAGTATCATGCTCATACCTGATGCATAATTACACTTGGCTCCTCCTATTAATGGGAGTGGCTAATGAAATCTGGATGACTCAGTCCATGGTTTATTTAGAGTTACAGTGAACCAAGGGCTCTGGTCTTTCTGGAAAAACAGAACCAGAAGCTAAGGGAAAACCATAGTTTTAGACCCTGGCTTATAAGAGAAGAATAAATCAGATCTTGATTTGCACACAACTCTAAACAAAACAAAGATGGAATGATCCAGGCTTATTTAGGCACTCTCAATGGAAGGTACAGCTAAGTGGAAGCAACTGAAAGCCTGTACTAGCATCCATCATGTGGGTGATCAATTAGAGTTCTTTACAATTCTGGCTTATTGTGTCATCTGAAGATGATGTAATGAAATATAGGCAACAGAAATTGGATCAAAGAGTAAGTACCTCAAGAGCATCATGTAAATGAAGAAGAGAATGTGTACTTAGCTTACATGTTTGGAGAGGTCAGGACTCTTGGAGTCTACATCATAACTGCAAAGAAGAAGAAGCAGAGATCACACACTGTATTTCAATCATGTAGAATCTTGGTATTTCTCTTTTGCAAAACCTATACAACAGGGACACTGTACAATATCTATGAAGAAGGAAACAGACTCAGGGTTGGAGAACAAGAATTTGACTTCTGTAAGGCTTCCTGAGATTAGCTTTTTGATGTTAAAGCTGAATCCTTTTCCCTGTACATTACTTAAAATAGTCTTCTCTAATCATTTGTGGACTTCAACTCCCATATCCTCATCCAAAAGATAATGTTGCCTGGTTATTATGCCAACAGAAGTCTAATGCATCTGAAAGAAGTAGATTAGGGAAAAATGTCAAATCAAATAAATGGAAACAAGAGTACAGCTGATGGAATATGAAAAAGATTGTAATATACATGTTAAGGAAACTTCATTTTTCCAGTAATATTTAGTGGGGAGGAAATTTGGAATATTTGGTCTTTGATTTTATATTTAAATACTCTTCTCCTAATCCTTCACCCTAGAGCTGAAACAAATATTTTTAAATAAATGTTTTTCTCTGAATGTTTTAACATCAAAAACTAAATTCATACTTGAAATCTGAAAAGTTAAATTGAAAAGTTGAATGCTGTAAGAAATTAGTATCTCCTGATTGATGTTGGCAAATTCTGAGCTACTATTGCATATTAACAACAAATGACAGATACTTAATACCTTTCATGTAACTCTGCTACTTTTCAACTATAAAATGCTATTTATTATAAATACTATTATATGTGAGTCATTTAGCAAATATAGTATGCCTGTGGACTTCCAATTATCCTCTGGAGCACCCTGAGTTTTGGAAACTTATCCTCATTTGCAACCTGAGCATTGGATATGTTCTGGGATGAATCTTTCTTTGCTCATACTGAGTAATATGACCAGCATTGTTCTATATGAAGTAGATACAACTGGGAATTTCCCTGAAGACTCAGAGCTCTTATGGAATCACTAAGGTAAAAAAGAGAATATTGAGAAATACACTTTATAGAAATATCACTGCAAATAATGATGAACATAGTCAAAATTTAAATATTATTACATGATAAACATTAACAATGGTTTAGTATCATCCAGTATCTGATACTGAAATAAAATATCACTGGCTGATAAAATAAGAATAGATATTTGGAGGGTGTCCATTTCAAAGACACAAGGAGAACAGTTTGCCGCAAAATTTGCAGAGCTAATTTCAGCAATAGTTCATATTTATTTACTAAGACGTATACAATGCCAAGGCACTTTTGCACAAGTAAGGAAGGCATCATTTGGAACAGCCAATTTGTGAGCTTAGGTATAAGGCATTTATTGATTTTATTTTCCTCCTGCATTGCTGGATTACAAGAATGCTTTTTTCATACATTTTTCTCCACTTCCATTTATAGCTATACTTTTGAAGCTAAGGTCAATGCTATAGAATGTACAATTTACTTCCTTTGTTAAAAGTGGATGCTACAGTATTGACAGCAACTTTGGCCTATAGACTGTAAGCTATACTACCTTCGACACCTCCTCTGGAACAATCTGGTTTCATTAAAGGATGTCAAGCAACAGACAATATTAGATAATTCGTGGATATAACTGATACACAATTAGATATATTGGATTTGGTGACACTTGTCTCACTGGATGCCAAGAAAGTTTTTGATATGGTGCAGATTAAATTTGTGGAACACGTTCTGGCTAAATTTGGTTTTCCCTTCAATTTTTTAAAATTGGATTAAAGTGTGGTTCTCTAACCCATTACAAGGATGATCACAACTGGAATTATTTGTTCATATATTAGGATGTTATGAGGAATTCATCAAGGGTGTTTACTTCTCCTCTTTTATTTAACTTGATGTTGGAATTATTGGCCTTTATATAGACAATGTAAGAATATTTCAAGTTAGTGGGAATGGAACATTGTGAAAGAAAGATATGCCTTGGAAAGGGGGAAGGGAGTAACAAACTCTTGAGGAGGAAAAAAAAATAACTTAGTCACAAGAAAGAGGAAAGTGTGAGAAGGAAACTCAAAAGGACCCTGTCTTGATTTTGCTAAGCATAAGATGTGGTAGAAAGAATCTGACAGGTTTTCAAGATTCTGTATGCTGCACTACAATTATAAAGAGCATTCCTGGAATCCCTGTTGCCTCTGTTTCTTCACTTTGCCAACCCTGAAGGGCTGACAAATATAAATGATTATTACATGCTGATGATCCTCTGTCCTTTCTTGATAACTATCAATGTTCTTAACCAACATTTATGGATACAGTCTATAGCACAATACTTTGGTAAATATTTTCAAGTTATTCCATTAATTAGGAGAGGTCTAATATCTTCCTACTGGTTCTAAGGCTTCAATGGATATTTGGAAAATATCCAAATACATGAATTCCTAATAATTATTCCTGGATTTCTTCGTTGAAGTAGGTTAATAATTCCAGTTTCCAGTAGGTTAATTCTGATATAAACAAATGGTTAAAAATCCCCAGGACTCTATGGGGAAGAATAAACGTCAAAATAAAAGTCAGTCCAAAGTTGATGTATATTATTGGAGGGAATTCTATGTTAATATTTGTAAAGTGTTTTAAACAGATTGATAAGGTATTGAAAAACTTTAAAGGGGTTGTTGGACTCCCAAATTTTCTATATTAGAATTACTTTTCTCTGAACATGGGGATTTTAACTAGTCAATTTTCAGTTATACCACTGGGCATATGTTGCTTTTGGAATTCAAATGATTTATCTCAAAAACCATTATGGGAACAATTAGAAAGCGACTATCTTGCCTTTTAATATCTTGGCAAAGTTTTGATTTCTCTTTTAGTTGGGTTTCTCAGATTAAAAGTTTCAGGGTGTGTATATTGGGAAGGAAATTCAAATTTGATCCAACTCTCATGAGAAGTTGACTTTATGGGATAATCCAACCCTGAAGATTGTTGGCAAATAATTATTCTGGAAGTCGGGGGGGGGGGGGAAAGGCAACAATATTTTGGACCAGGTTACTACTAATCATTTCTTCAAAAACACTTGATACTTTGCAAAAACACTTTGGACGACCTAAGACTATTCAATGATAATTTATTCAATTAAAATATCTTTTGAAAGTATATTTGGGCCTGATGTATTAGTTGTTTCTGAAGGTCCTACAGTACTGATATCATTGGAAAATGTTCTCAAAGTTGCTAAACCTATAGTTAACATTTATTTACAACTGAAAAGATATATTAAGATAGATATGGATAATTTGCAGATAATTTAGCGTAATGAGTTGGAATATCCTGTCTTAATAAATCAATGAGCTAGTGTTTTATTAGTTGTTAAATTAATATGGCATGATTTCTACATGAGATTAATAAAACAACACAATATGCTCTGTGTCTAGTAGACACCCCAAAGGATGTATAGCAAGGGTTATGTTTCAACATCTGCATGATGCAAGCGGAGTACATCGAAAAAGACTTAGGCACCTACATTTCTACAATGACATTGTATGAGTTTAATTTTTATAAAGGTTGGGGAAAAAAATAAACATAAAAAATGTGAATGCAATGTATTCTATTCCCAAAATTTGAAACCTACTGAAAAGTGAAAACTTTGGCTTTAATGTGCATAGACCTATTGCTGCCCTTGAAGCTGAGAATAAAGAGAACTCCTTTGAATCTCAATGTACATGCTGCTTTTTTCAGTGCAAGCCCCTGTTAGGGCAAGGCATTTGCATATTCTTCACCACAGCATTTCATAAAATACAGGATACAATCAGATTGATAATTCTTATGGGCAGACACTGATATTCCTTTCACATGCTCAGTCTCTAGAAGACCAGGAAGTATGTCACTCACAGATCAAAGCGCAAATTCTGCTTCTCTTCAAAAAAGTAATCAAGGATGAACTTGCGCACAAAGTCTGGGTTCAAGGTGTTGTCGATGACTTCAGTCCTGCCAAACTGCAAAGGGAAAGGGAACCAAATGAGTGTGGCAAGTCTAGTAGCATTACAACAACAGGCAGGAAGATTTGAAAACCACATCCCAAACTGATCCTGGGATGAAATCTAGTCCAGACACTTTTAAATAATATGTAACATTAAATATCTTTGTTTTATGCTTCTTGACAAGCTTCATCAATTGCCTCCTTCCAATCTTAAGAGTGGGAAACAATTCTTTCATCTCTTAATCCCTAAAGTGAACAACTTCCAGATGTGCTGACTTCAACTTCTAGCATGTTGAACAATGGCCATGCTGGCTGGGGAGAGGCTTCTTTCAGATTGACAGAGGTCTGATAACTTGTAGGCAGTTCAGAATTGGGCTGAGTGCCACAACTTGCCTGGTCCTGCTTCAGGACAAAGTTTTTAGTCTTGGCAGGTGAAAAGAAACAATAACAACAACAAAAGAGAGCAAAGAGGGGGCATGGAGAATTTGCCAACTTTCTCCCCCTCCCCATCAAAAATCTTTTCCTTTAATGGCATGGTTCTTCTATACTTTACATGTGATGGTCAAGATTTAGTTATTAAAGCTGGCTTTATTAGTGTTGCTGCAGCACTGTAGCTAATACACATGAATGCAGAAACAGGTAAAATATGCATCAATCAACTAAGAAAAGAAACCCAACACAACAAAGCAAAGCAAGGAAACAGTATTTAGTTGACTGAGCTTCAGTCAAGTCATTGTTTTTATAATATTTCAATTATCAAAATCTGTGCCTCCTCCAGCATGTCAGAATTTCTAAGCTCAGCAGCCAAAGTTGTTTGATTTGTTTCCAAAAAGCAAGAAGTCTGCCAAGCCAGCAAACACATTTGGAAGAGATGCTCCATATTTAGGTGCAAGCTAGGGACATCACAGCAAGTGACGCACACAGAACGCACAATTACATAGGCACAGCTGGGGGAAAGGAGTGGTCTGACCTTTCCAAAGAGATGTGAAAAAGAAGGTGGCAAAACTGAGACAGGGCAAAATATAACAGTGAAATCAGGAAAGGGGAGGAGAAAAGAGTCACTTATAAAGACAGAAGCCTGTTGCATCAAGAACTGCTAATTTCTTCTTTGCACCACAACAATTGGTAGTCGCCTTGAGACAAAGCTAGCCTAGTGAGAATACATAAAGGCTATATGACTAAGCCTCCAAGTGCTTCAATTAACCAGATATTAATTATAACCATCATTCCTCAGGGGGTCACACAATAGAGGGCTGAATTTCCAGAACCTCCACCTAACATCTTTTAGAGGTACAGGAATTCTAGGAAATATATATTCCAAATGGCAGCAAGTTGCTTTTGAGGCAGCAGAGATTTTCAAGGTAGGGAGGATGGAGTAAATCTAGCTACCTGAGATGACGGAATATGAAATTATATTTCCAAAGAAGGAGAATTCTAGGGTTCTCTAAAGGGCAAAGAAAAGCTAGGTAAAATATACTGAAACAGGAGCTTGTTTTTTTAAAAAAAAAAAAATCTGTCCTTATGTTCTTCATTCTGAATTGCCAGCTAACCTCTTGCCTTCTGTGATAAAATGTGATGTCAGAAGCAAAGAAGAAAAAGAAAAAAAGGAGCTTGATCAGGTTTTTAGATGAGTATTTGCCACAGAGGGGAGACTCAGGATTTTGCATCCCCAAGCCAGCCTCCCAAAGGGAAGAAGTCCACAAACAGGGGTGAGAAAATGGGGATATCGGCTTTAAACTGGTATCAGCTAAAAAGTCATAAAAGAAAGGGTTGTAGATGAAATAAAGAGAATGTACTGTAGATAACTGGGCAAGCAGCAGATAGTAACCATTTAAAAACATTCAGGACAGAACTTAAGGTATAACTATGTGAGTGAAGCAGTCAAAGACCACCTCTGATTTTGCTATTAAGCCCAACGTGTCCATCAAGCTGCAGTCATCTGAAAATTTTTAAGGATGACGCAAATGCTTATGTAGAAAGGAAGAGAATATTCACTGTTAAAGAACACAAGATAAAAACCTGACACTGCCTAGCATTGCTTGGATGCAGTATTTCTATAAACTGTGTTCGTCAAGAATGAGGAGACCCAGGTTCAAGTCACCTTTAGCTATGGTTACTGAGTGACATTGGGCTGGTCTTCTGTCTTAGCCCAATCTTTCAGTGTTGATGTTGTGGGAAAAAATTGGAGGCAGGATTTATTATCCTGAGTTCTTGAAGGAAAGGTAGGATATAAATGGAGCAAATAAATAAACTGGATAAGCACCTTATGCCCCTCTGACTCTGGTAGTTCTGATAATGCCAACAAGGGAAAGAACTGGATTTTGGCATTTGGGATAATTTGCAGCTGGAGGGCAAACAGCATCTCCAAGAACAGCCGATTCATGAACCAAAGTGCTCCTGGGACAATGAATTGGTCAAATAAAGCCAAAATGTCAAAGACAATCTTATGGCCCTACAACATTGTACTAAATGTGCAGCTGCCCAGGGCAGTTTTTAGTGTTCCTGGAAAACACAAGTAGGAACTTTCTCAGGTTTAAGCAAGACAGCATGCATATATAATGATGGGAAGTCTGCAAATCTAGCTTTTCCCTACCCACATGATGTGCAATACAGTGGAATAAAAGGCAGATCAGTAGTGCAAAATTAATTGTGCTGGCAAAGCATTTTAGCCTTAGTCCATCATAGGTTAGGATCCTCTGTAGCTTACTTGTACAATTTATGCTGGCAGATGCCCCAGGAACATGAGTACAGCAGCACTTATCTTTTATGACCATTTGAAGAGCAAAGGAGAGGAAGTGAAATCAATGGGAGCAAGAACAGATTATAAATTTGTATTAAGAAGACATACCAGGCATGCTATTTACACATGTGGTCTGGGTTATTTATTATGTGCTGTAGAAAATGCCATCCTGCCAGTTTCCTTCAAAAAAACCTGCCATCTCCATATATAGTTTATAATGCAAGTGTTGTCAGAGCTGAAATTCCCAACATGGTGCCTAGAAGTACCAACATGCTCACAAGCAACTTCTTTGGTTCTCCTTCATCCTGGCTTGTGCATTTTTAAAAACATTCACTAATATGTTTGTTGTTTATATTAATATTTACATCAATTAAGACTTCTGTTTAACTTCACTTTCAAAAATGCGTATGGCCCCCAAATTTATTCCATTACCTTTTTAGCAAATAAATATTAAGCATGGCTGCTTGTTTTGAATTTGTATCTACTTGCCCACAAGAAGGACAAAGGTAAGCAAAGATAAAAAGAAGTATATTGCATGATGGCGAGCTAGAAGGAATGGCAGGTAGAGTTCTGCCGCCATTTTGAAAATGGGCAAACTCTACCCTACAGCCATTTTGTGACTGTGCTGACAATGTGTTTTCAAAAATTCCAAATGCGCCCACCAGCCCCAAACAGTTAGGGAACCTGTCCTAGAGAATCAAGAGCTACAAGTCAGGACTTGGTGAGGAATGCTAGCTGGGGAATTCTGGGAGTTGAAGTCCACACATCTTAAAGTTGCTGTGTTTGAGAAACACTACCTTAAGCAGTTGCTTTCCAGTTTTGTTAGACTGTAACTTCCCTGAGGTGGACATGTCAGCTGGGAATACCCGGAGAGTATTCTCTTGGGGAAGGTGGGTCTAAAACAACTTTCTTAAGTTATTATAAGTTTAACCCTAACCCTAATAAGGCTGAAAGAGATGTTGATATTCCATTATGTTACTCCTGATTCAACACATGCTACAATCTATTACAGTGTTCTGATAGGGCATTTTCAACTATAAGTACCTGAACCATAATATTTTTTTCCAGACGATTTGCTGTAAGGGCCTCTCTGAAGAACATGAGAACAGCTAATGACAGGGAGAGGGCCTTTTTTGTAGTGGCACCCAAGCTATGGAACAACTTTCCCAGATAGGTGTACCTATGGGGATTGTTCTTGTTTATAGGATACTTTATGTAATTCATGCAAGCTAAGCCTTCTTATTTTAAAAACTGTATGTTTAATGTTGTGATTGTTATGAGCTTTGATTTTTATTGTATTTCATGCTGATTTTGATTTTTCTTTTTTAAAATAGTTTTTATTAAAATATTTTACATATAAAATAAGTACATTCAAAGAAAAAGATATAGTAAATGTGAAAGAGAAAAAAAAGGAAAGAAAGGAAAAAAGAGACAAAGAAAAAAGCATATAGAAAAAAGAAAAAGAAAATAAAAGAACAGAACAGAAAACGTGAAAAGAAATATAAAGAAATTGCTTCCAACCTTCCTCTCAGCAGTTATACATACAATTCTAATCAAACCTCTCTCTCTAAGATTACATCATAATTCTCTTCTTTCTATAACCTATTCTTTCTAATCATCAAAGCCATAAGTCACAAAATCATTTTCATTTTTACACAAAAAGTCCATAAGGGATTTCCAGTCATTGATGAATGTCAATAATGACTTTTCTCTAATCAAAGAAGTCAGTTTGGCCATCTCAGCAAGTTCTGTTAATTTCATCAACCATTCCTCCATGGTGGGTAGTGCCAAATCTATCTGTCTTTGTGCATATAATAATCTCACCGCAGTAATCATATACTGAAATAATCTTCTACGACTCTTTTCTAACTGTATATCCATCAATCCTAAAAGGAAAAATTTTGGCTTCAATTGAATATTAATCTTTAAAATCCTCTGTATAAATGTGTGAAAATCACCCTTTCCAACTTATCCCATCTAAATGGAATCTTCTTCTGTGAGTTTGTCAGAAAAAAAACACTCTTTTCTCTTGCGCAGTATTCTAACTGGAAATTCCTTAAGTACAATTATCAATCCTCAATCTAGTATTAAAATGCTGTTCCAGAACTTGGTCTCTTTTATTCTTCCTGACAAAGTGCACAAGGACATCCCTTGGAACATTTCTTAATTTTGCAAATCATGTATTAATCCTATAAACTTTATCAATCTCTGCCTCTGTGTCATCTTCATCCCAATCCAAAAAGTTATATAGCAACTCAACAATCTTTTCTGATATC